TTTTCTCAGTCATCTGGGTATGTAGTAATCTAATTTTATGCAATGTACTGTGTTATATTTTCAAGGGCTTTTCAATGCAGTTATCGGTTTAAATATACCTAAAATTCCCGTTAAGATATGACAATTGCCGTACGGACTACTTTTACGCAAACGAAAATTAACTACAATTGCCACTTTCATGCTTAATTTTCTCTGTTATCCGGGCATGTAGTAATGTAATTTTATGCCAATGTAATGTGCTGATGAAATTTGCAGTTGTAATTTTCGTTTGCGTAAAAGTAGTCCGTACGGCAATTGTCATATCTTAACGGGAATTTTAGATATATTTAAACCGATAACTGCATTGAAAAGCCCTTGAAAATATAACACATTACATTGCATAAAATTAGATTACTACATACCCAGATGACTGAGAAAATTAAGCATGAAAGTTGCGGCATATCCGCGTTTTATCCGATCAAGCGTTACGAAGGTTTGAAAAACTCTGCATTTCCACATGTATTTTATCAACTTTTCGCGGACAATTTATTACGATTAATAATAGTCTTTTATACTATATCCTAATATATCCCTTTCAACAAAACGAGGATTTGATTTTAAAATTGAGTTTCGTGTCAAATGAAGCCGCCCCCCCTGTCCACCCCCCTCTTTCCCCGTCCATCCACCTGTCCCCCCCGTCCATCCGCCTCTTCCCCCGTCCATCCGCCTGTCTCCCCCGTCCATCCGCCTGTCCCCCCCGTCCGTCCGTCCGTATCCGCATTTTTCAATTTTCCTGTAATTTACATTTTCGGCCGTTTCGTTTCGGTCGTTTCGTTTCGACGTTTCGCCTTTTAGTACATGCCCATGGCTACCATTGGAAAATATCGTGATGTTCCGGTATATTCCGGGAAAATGTCGCAATATTCCGGCATATTCCGTGATATTCCGCCATATTCCGTGATATTCCGCCATATTCCGTGATATTCCGGCATTCCGGGTTTTCACAACGCCCAAATTTTCTACAAAAATTGTTGGGTTTAACTGTGGTACAATGTATTATATTTTAGCCACAAGTATGTAAAGCCCTCTAAAGCCTTGTTGTACAAAGTAATCAACTTTCGTTTCATTTAAATCGTGAGCAAAATGGTATTTTGATCTATTGTTTAACATGCTCTATTTGTTGCATATTTTATGTTTTGAATAAGCCTGCAGTTTGTATTTCATGATACTATTTTGAAAGGCCTTGAAAATTTATAATTTTCTGTAGGTGGCACGAAGCTGTGCATTTTACAAATTATCTTAATTTGACCCTGGGGACTGATTTTATAATGACATGAAAGTACAGTATAATGTGCTACCAGTACCACTATATTTTGAGGGAATAACAAAAAGAATTTATAGTATTTTATATTTTGTACTAACTTTATATGCAAAAGCTAGAGGTACTCAAGGAAGCTTATTCTGCTGTCGAAGTACCTCATTGAGTTTTGAATCAGTAGTATGATTGTAGTGTTCAAGTTAGTGCAGGATGATGCAACTACTGTAGCTAAGGCTAAGACAAATAAACCTCGATGTTTTGGTGTACATACACATAGGATTATGGTTTCTGTAACTTCTAATAGTTTCTTGATAAATTTAATTCCAAAAAAACAATGTATATTTAAGGGGTCACTCAACTTGCCAACAAAGTTCGAGCATCGTCTGAAAACCTAGTATATTTCTTTTGTATTCCTCATTTTCCCTTGATATGATTTCTCGTGCTTTTTCTCTTTTAGAATAACCTATATATTCAATTCTTGTTTATTGCAGAATTATCTACCACAATGATGCAGTTGAAATTGTATTATTTCAATTTAATTTAAATTCTTCAATGAATAATTATTAACTACCAATTAATCACCAATGAGTCATTCCAGAAAAGATAAACACTAACTCCACAGAAGGAGATGGTGCTGTCTGAAGTGGGCAGAACTCAACTGCTGATAATAGTAAAAGTATTAGCTAAGGGTGTCCTAACTGTATAATCAAGTTATTCTGGTATAATTATCACTTTGTAGTCCCATGAGCTGTAACATCACTTTGGCTGTTTGGCATGTTTATCTCTTTTCAATTTTCTTTTGGTAGCGATAACAGATTACTACTACAGATACTGTATTTCTACACAATGTTACACCCAAATAAGATATACACATCAATGTTAACTATCATGATACAATACAGCTGTTAACAGCAAGAACATTTTTGCTTCAGTTCTTGTATATCACTTTGATGCCTGTAATAGAAATGAGAAATAAAGTTACTTTGTTTATGATTGTTTTATTCTATGGTGTGAAACTGTTTCATGTACATTTCAAAATTAATTGCAATGGGTGCATACTGTAGGTTCTGGCATCACCCCTACTTTGCAAGTTACAGCTCTGGCAGGCTGGATTGGAACTGGTAGCTCTGGTGCACCACTAATCTTGTATAAATCTGAATTAACCCATTAAGTGCCATCGATCTCCCCAATTGATGAGTAAAATTATCTGGTGTTAGACAGAGTAAAATAATCTGGCATTATACAGAGTAAAGTGATAAAGTAGGGCGCATCAGGGTGCAATGCGACTCATAACTAGACACATAGACTAGTTATTAACCATTAAGCACCAGCACTCTCTACTTGACGAGTAAAATCATCTGGCATCAGACAGAGTAAAATAATAAAGTAGGGTGCAATGCAACTCAATGGGTTAACCTCTAAGGGACCTAAATAAATATGGCTTTCTTGTCTAAACATAAATCAAGACTCCCATGACAGAGGTATTTTCTGAGTGAAGGAGGAGGTTCTTTGTTTGGAGATTTTTATGAGGCATAGAGGTTGACCCATACTAGCATTCAAGGTAATGCCAATGCAAGAATGATATAAGTATAAATCATGCAAATTTGGGTATGCACAAGTCGATGGTAGCTCGATGCTGACTGAAATGTAGTGCACAACGCCACAAAAAAAGCCTAACTACACAGCCAATTGGTAAATGCTGATACAAAACCTAGCAAGTAGCAAGACTAGCAGCCATACTGGAAAGTTCGTGTTTCTCGCGCCAAAGATTTTGCGCCGCAATTTTCACCAAAATATTGCACGCCAAAAAAGTTCTTCCAGCGGGACTAACGTGCGCCAAATTAGATTGGCGGAGACACAAGGCGAGCACTAACCTACGTAGCAGGCGATATTCGCAGGCACGAGAGAACGGGAAGAGGCGAGCGCTGTGGGCGCGAGCATTGAACCTAGAGTCTCTCAAATGCCATTTCCTGGACTTTGGGGGAAGATTTTGCGGAATTCTGATGGTCAGAAAACACTTGTTAAACAAGACACCTGCTCAGACGTTCACCCTGGCCTCGCTGCAATCAATCAATCAATCAATCAATCAATCAATCAATACAAATTTATTTAAACACTGTAAAATCTTCAGTACATGGACAATCTCTGGTAAATGCTGATACAAAACCTAGCAAGTAGCAAGACTAGCAGCCATACTGGAAAGTTCGTGTTTCTCGCGCCAAAGATTTTGCGCCGCAATTTTCACCAAAATATTGCACGCCAAAAAAGTTCTTCCAGCGGGACTAACGTGCGCCAAATGAGATTGGCGGAGACACAAGGCGAGCACTAGCCTACGTAGCAGGCGATATTCGCAGGCACAAGAGAACGGGAAGAGGCGAGCGCTGTGGGCGCGAGCATTGAACCTAGAGTCTCTCAAATGCCATTTCCTGGACTTTGGGGGAAGATTTTGCGGAATTCTGATGGCCGGGTCAGAAAACACTTGTTAAACAAGACACCTGCTCAGACGTTCACCCTGGCCTCGCTGCAATCAATCAATCAATCAATCAATCAATCAATCAATCAATCAATCAATCAATACAAATTTATTTAAACACTGTAAAATCTTCAGTACATGGACAATCTAACTATTATAAGAGTATTAAGACAGTCATAGATTATACATACACACATCAATTATATCTACTACTGGTTTACAAGATTGCCGTGTGGGAGTTCACTTGAATTATAATACTTATTTACAGCTTTCTTAAATTGTGGAAATGTTTGAAGCTTTCGTATATCTTGAGGAAGACTGTTCCACAAGTAGGCACCGCTATAACAAAAGCTTTGTTTTAAGTACTTTGTTCGTGGCTTGGGCAAATTTAATATCGTCTCAGAATTTCTTAAATTGTACCCTGTGTCACGAACTGAATATTCTAAAAAATTATCGCAATATTCTAAAAAATAATTTGAAACATGTAGATGTTCTTCGCTTCTTGACGGCCGTCACTTCATGATCGCAAATATATATTCAGAGGACGGCACAATAAAAATCCATACAAAACCAACAGAGTTCAGCGATATTATATAAAAAACACAGAAAAATTCAAGCGCATGCGCAATGAAATATAATAAAATACGTCCCACAATACTTGCTACTTTCTTAACAACGATCCAGTTAACAGCATAGCTAACCAAGTAGACTTGGGTGTTGTTATCAGCAATGACCTAAAGTGGTCCCCTCACATCGCCAGCTGCACTGCAAAAGCCAATCGTATGCTTGGTTTTCTTCGTAGGAATTGTACGCAAATGTCTGATATTCGCTGCCGTAGGCTTCTTTATCTTGCTCTCGTCCGATCTCATCTGTCATATGGTAGTGAGATCTGGGCACCTCAAGGATCGTCACGTGATCTTGCGATCATCGAGGGTGTTCAAAGACGAGCTAGTAAATTTATCCTTCAGGATTATGAGTTGCCGTATCCTGAACGCCTTAAAAAGCTTAATTTATTACCAATATCCTACTGGATGGAACTAAAGGATCTCGTCTTCTTTTTTAAATGTAAGCACGGTCTCTTCGACCTAGATATCTCCTCTTTCGTCACTTTTTCTTCAAACAGCTCGTCTCACACCCGTTCAAGTTCGGACAACTTGCTTCGTGTCAATCATTGCAGGACTTCTCTCTTTAGGAACTCTTTTTTCAACCGAATTGTCTTTCTCTGGAATAATCCAGAGCCTGAAATAACGGCCGGCGGCCGGCGGTTTTCCGACCAAATTCCGATTTTTCCGACCAAATGCTGAAATGATCGGAAATTTTGTCCGGCCAAATTTTGAGAAAAAGAAAAATGTTTTCTTAATGATCGGGTCGGCGCTCAGCACAGTGAGTACCATCTGTAAGTTTGGATTATCTATATTAGGCTAATATAAAGTAATCAACTGGAAGGTATAGTTTCACGGGCCCAATAAACAAGATGGCGGCTTACAGCGTGGTGTTTTCGGGTCAAGATAAAAAACAGGGCGCTTATATATATGTATATATAGGGGGGGGGGGGGGGACTTGGTCAAACTAAACTAAAAAAAATTCCGGTCAATTTTGCAAATTTCCGGTCAAATTTCGTTTTGATCGGAAGTTTTTCCGGACAAATTTTAAAATTATTTCTGCATATATATATATATATATATATATATATATATATATATATATATATATATATATATATATATATATATATATATATATATATATATATATATGTGTAGAGTAGAATGCATTACTATAATGTATAATTTAAACTATACATACAGTATTCGGTATTGTACATTTTATTTTTAAATTGTGCCATCGTCCAGCACATCTTTGCAATATGCAATAATGTTTATGAACAAACTTTCTCTAAGCATAATGTTAATAATATCTTTTTGCGTTCAATGTAAGGCAAAGCGCGAGAGGCCTCTTTTTTATATCATGTGTTTATTACAACAACAAACAGCGTTTCAGAGATTCACTCCCATAGGTAGGTATGATTATACAATTTGAATTTAAACTAAACAAGACGCCTACTCAGGCGTTCACTCCGGGTACAGGGCCTTAACTAAGCGCAAAGCTACTTTAACGTATGCTTATATACGGCAATGAAGGTATCTTTAATGCATGATATTTAGCATATTAAAGTTTGAATAGTGGGAGAACTGTACAGTGTAACCACTTGACCAGGTGACTAAAAACATATGCAATGATCATAATATTTTATAACATAAAAATAAAAGGACATTGTGACACTGATTATCTTTAATAAAAGCTATCTAGTTCTTTATTAAAAGTTCTATTTAAAACATGCGTAGAAGTGTTTTAGCGAGTCGTATATAATAAGTCGGAGGCCGTATTTTACAATTTTTTATTTTTTTTTAGTGTCGAGGGTAGAAATTCGACGGTGAAAAGCTTGAGGGTAGGGCTACATTTTAATAATTTAACAAAATAATAATTTTAGCTTGTGTTCATTTACTTTACTTTTAATTTTTAGCTCTTATTTTTATATGCAATTATTAATTTTTTATATGCGATTACTTTTTATATGATAAAATATTACTACATAAAAATAGACATGCCGATCAAAAGGTACAGTCGAGATAGTTTCCAACGTTATCGTTATCTCGGATTGCATGTCGCAAATTATTGTATTGTCTATTCACTATATGGTTTATTGAATCAGAGTAATCAGGACTTGTTTACACCTTGCCATTGCCATACGCCTTTTCCGGGTTCGCGACGCCATCTTGAAAGTATTGTTTTCGCTATTGTGCTTGCCCTACTTGCAAGTTTATCTATAGGGAATGCCCGCAAATTTCTACCCTCGACAATAAAAACCATAAAATATTTTAGAAATACGACTCCGGACTTTTCATATATGACCCTCGACTTTTTTATATGACCCTCGACTTTTTATATATGATTTTTCGACCCTCGCTTCCCACCCTCGACCCTCGAGAAGAACTCCTGAAACTGAATTACTAAAAATAGCTAACGTAAACAAACCACATTTATCAAACACGCAAAGAAAATTATTTAAAAAGTAATATATTGTTAGTCGTGTCATATAGTTAATTGTCAACACTTTTTCAATGCATGGTAGTAAGTTCATAACTGGCACCATAACTCATAATTAAGTTGTTATGTTGATATTTTGTTTATACAGATTGATTGTTTTAATTTGTAAGGCTTCTGTAAGTTTGTTATTATCAAACGTTTAGATTGTTTTAAGCATCTTAGTAATGATTTTACTTTAAGACCAAGACAATGCAGCTGTCGAGACCGATTTTTAATACTCTATAAATAAAACATTAAACTGTGTAATAGACGTAATAGTGTTGGGTAAAGCTACCTAGTTATATATATTTTATATGCGCTTTTGCAGTCTAATTCAAGCGTGGTAGACAATATTGCCAATATTGTTGAGGTTTGCGATATAAATTGCCTCGCGAATCGAAGACTTTCAGATATGTCTATGTCGAATAGATTTGTGCGTTGTTTGTACTTCAATTTTGGCCACGAGGCACAAAGGGAGACTTAAAGAACACGAGTGGTGTTAACACAATTTAACTACGCACAGTGTTGACAAAATTAAAAAATACCGGGCTAACGCCATTTGTCGATCAGAACACGGGCAATAGGACAGGTGTAGTGTTGTTAAATAGAAAGTTAGAAATGGTATTATACTTACTCATGCATTATAATTATGTTTAAAAGATCAGAATATTCATAACTTCTTATTTTGTTTCATAAATAGTTCTTTAATATTCGAAACAAATTCCACTTCTGCTTCGTCTGCCATCCCCATGTTTACTCGTCCCAATCTACACGCTGCACGGCATTGCCGCCCCTCCTGGCAAAATAATAAGCAAGCGAGAAAAATTAAGGAGAAAATAAGAGGGTAGGAACATTGTGGGCGTTTATAAAAAGTGTTCGTGCTTTAACTTTTTATTCAACTCGTCTCGTAATCTTTTTTTGTCCCTGTAAATGGAAATTTTGCCGGAAAGGTCGGACATTAATTCTTGCAGCATGGATGCAACATAGTTTTGTACATAATTCCAGTCAAAATACTGCAACCTTCCCACTTTCGCTTTTTTAGTCTGTTGTCATTTACTATTTTGTTTTGACTTTTGCATTATTGTAGCGGTTGCCGAATTATGGGGAAATATGGCGACAAAATTTAGTTGTTTTTTTATTTTTGTAATATTTTTAATAATTGTAACAAAGGATGCATTTTTCGTTTGATTCACTGCATATGAACGCATAAAAGTTTTGAAATTTAACTTATGTCGTCGTATTTCCCTATAATTTGTTAACCGCTACAATAACAGAAATACTGCAGTAAGAGACAGAGATTTTCAAAAAAAATAGTTTTTAAAAAAGTTTTAAAATTTTGCATGGGGAATTTTGGGGAATTTTGCATGTGGAGAAAGCCGGGGAATACAGAAAGTTGCACAAATTGGGGATCGAGTGTAATGCAGACTATCCTGTCAATATGAGATCAGTGGATAGACTTATATAAAAATGAAGCCAGTAGACAAATTTGGGTAACGTTGTTTACGTCGTTGCTACCCAATTCACAGCTTTGGATAACTCACATGCCTAGTTACTATTATTCTTAATAGTTTACAGAAGCATATACTGAATAGAACAAAAGTAACTAAACATTAAACTTATGTATTATCACTTTATATTTACTGAGATCGAGGGAAACGGTGTGTTTTGTGGACCAGAGCCACTTATAGATAGTATATAAGTGTTAAAGTATGAATAATTCACCGATTATTGGAGTGAACTTAATTTGAAACCAAAACTGGATAAATGGAACGCCGTAAATAAAAAGTTTAAAAAATGAACTTTGGAACTTCGCGGTTGACACGCATGCGTATTGCACCCATTTTATTATTGACTGGTCAATAAATGTTTCATTGCGGACCGGTTGCCGAACATGAGGTTTTGTAACCTGAAGTTAGAGGTTTTGTGGACCGGCACGTGACACGGTTTTGACTAATCGGCAAATAGAAAAATTGAACTTTGATACTAACTAACAACAAGAGTTATAAGACTATATAACAATAAGAGTTAATTACCTTTGTTCCATTTTATGCTTTTGTAATCTAGAACCATAGTAACTAGGTATGCGTGTTATATAAAGTTGTGAATTGGGTATAAACAAACGTTACCCAAATTTGTCTAATCGAGCTAGACTTGGGTCAGTACACGCATTTTCATAAAAATAGCAACCCTTCGGCTAAGCAGGATTCTGATTATCATATTGAGAGACATCAAAATCATGGCAGTTTCTGCAAAGTGCATTAAACCGATATTACCTGTAGCACTATTTCATGACCTAAACATCGCACAGAGACACTTACGTAAGTTTTCTACTCACATTGGTCGTTCAGACATGCACCTCCCGCCGTGCGTGGGAGCGGCAGATCAAGATAATCAGAAGATTATGGTATTGTGTCAATGTATTGACGAAGTTCTTATTATATTACCAATATATTATTTAATAACATTAAAAGAAATCAGGGTCGTAGCCACCAGCAGAATCGTTGTAACTGTACTACTGTATGTGTATATTGAAAGTGTATAATTAGTGCAAGTGTAAGTTAAGTATAAATGTAAAGCAATTCGAATTCAAGAATGTTCTGTACACGATAGCTTGCATATATTGTAATTATATTTTCACAAAACTGTATATATTCTTTTGAACAAGCTAAAAAAGTTTACTCATGGGTAATAAATCAGCTTATTTTAACTCTTCAATTACTAGTGTCGCTGATCAGCGAACACGCGAATGTAAACAAACAGCTAGAAATAGACCCAATTTGAAGATTTATAACTTTTCAGAAAATTGTTTGCAGACGAGTTTTATTCCTGATTACTTAACTTTAGTAGGTATACTTTCAAATTACATGCCTTTTGAACTTCAGATAGGTGCGACTTTGAGCTATTTTAAGTAAATTATGAGCGATTTTCAGCCTCTCGTCGCCATCTTGAAAACATAGTTTCGTAAAACTATAAAAACAATCGTATTAAGCAAATAAAGTTGTTCAATGTCCATGTAAATGAGAGTATTAGTGTTAATCTTGCATGTGAACAGTAACTGAAGGGGATAAACGCATCACAACGTTTTTAAAAAATCAGATGAATTCTTGTAAAATTCCCCTTCATTTCCGGTCTGAAAATATTCTCGCAACGTCAAATTTTAACATGGCTATAACTCCTATAAAACAGAAAGTTGAAACGTTCTGTAAGAAGCTCGTTTAATATTGACCAAAGTCTAGTTCATATGCAAAATATGAGCTAAATCTATTTTTCCTTCCCCAAACCAGTGAGTGGATTTTACTGAGAGGCCCTCTTAAGTATTCCCCGTCCATCTTTTCCATATCGCCTGCTTGCACTTTAGAATACGTTTTGCTCGTTTCCTCATTTCCTCTTCTTCAGTAAATTCTTCATCTTCAACTGTTAGAATAGAATGTTGTCCCGTTATCATGACATTCGGAGTTAGGACTGGTAGTTCAGGATCGTCCTCGACATAGGCCAGTGGACGGTTGTTGAGACAGATTTCCACGTCGAGAATCACTTTTTGCAGCTCCTTCCATGTGAGACTTGATCGTCCGACCACCTTGTAGAATGCTTGTTTGACTAAATCGATTAGACTCTCCGGCCCTTCGAGCCATTTCGTAGACAGCTGATCTGCTTGACAGCCTCTGCTTCCGATGTCTGCAGGATTCTCTTTAGTTCCGACATGTTTCCATGTGATGTAGCTTTTCTCCTTGATTAGCTTCACTCGATTTGCGACAAATTGTTTGTACTGTAATTCCCACGACCATTAATCCGATATAAAGGCACCATACTGTCTAGCCATCCGTAGCAGTGACTTACTGGTAATCCATCGAGCACCGACCTTACGTTATCCATCAGCTTCATTGCCATATGACCCGACACCAACTCTAATCTCGGGATTGTTAGACCTTTCTTCGCTAACCGTGATTTTGTTGTCACGAGGCCTTGCGCTGTGCCTTCATTCTGGTGTATTACTGCGTATACAGCTGCACACGTACCCTGTCCACTCGCATCCCCAAATGTATGTAGGTCAATGGCTTGGACCTCTTCTCTGTGTGGAACCAGGCTTCTCTGGACATCAATCTTACTGGGTAACTTCCTACATAATTTATTCCAGCAACTCATTAGATTACACGGCAGTTCCTTGTCTCAAGGTAAATTGCTGTCACAAATATCTCGATAGATCATCCTCCCCAACACGCTGACTGGAGAAACTAACCCCAGCGGATCAAATATTGACGCGATCTCGCTTAACACTGTTCGTTTGGTTGCGACTTCTTTACCAGTGCAAGGAAATGCAACTCTGATCTTGTCTTTGGTCTTGTTCCAAGGTACTCCCAAGAGCTTCGTTTCTTAGCTCTTCACACCCAGCTGCTGTTTGGCGTAACTCTGATCAGTATCGGTACCACTACTGTCTGGATCACTTGTTTCCAACTCTTCGATGTTTGAGTGCCATTTATGAAGCTTAAATTGTGCTCGCTCAAAGATCTCTATTGCTGTTTCTTTCAGATATTTTACTTCTTCAACCACGCAGCCTCCGGTCAGCCGATCATCGTACAGACCATCCCTTATTTCAGTTACTTCAGCAGGGAATTCCTTTTCTTGACTGCTAAGATGCTGTTCGAGTGTTTCTCCTAATAGAAATGGTGATTGATTCAGTCCGAATAAGGCTCGTGTAAATCCATAGACTTCGATCTCTTCAGGGTTTTGTTCGTTAATCCAGTGAAATCTTAGCGCGTCACGATCTTTCGTGCTATTGCCACTGGCTTGAATCGATTACGTACTAGAATATTCCACAAGAGATTTTGTAATGGCCCCGTCTCTAAGCAATCATTCAGAGACAGCGAGTCGTCATTGGCTGTCACGGACGCATCGTAGACTATGCGCACCTTTGTACTCTCAGCAGACTCCCGTCTGTGTAAGTCACGATTGTATTTTAATGTTTTATTTGTAAGAAAAAGCCCTAAATTTCTCCCTAAGTCTCTCGATATATTCGCTCTCAAATCACATTGTTTACAAGTTCACTCTCAAGTGTTTTCCAGGAATTAAACCGGAAGTCAGTTCGCACGTGATCTTTAACTTATTATTAACTAATATAAACCATAATTTATGAATTATGTCTATTCTCGACATTTTATTTGTTTAATGGTTTTTCATTTTCTCAATATAAGATTTGCCGTATAACAGATCTGCAAATTTGCCGTATAACAGATCAGCAAATTTGCAAAATTAGTTAAAGCAGATATATTAATTTTCAAATATCTGTTATTATGATGTCGTAATGCGGTCATCATGCAGAAAGCAAAATTTAAATTTGACCGATCAGTGTTCGCCATCTCCATGACAGTCCGCCATGTTTTTGAGATCAGTGGGAGGTCCTCCCCTGGATCATACCCAGACGCCCGCGATGTTTGATGAACTTCACACTTCGCTAATGCTTTCCTTTCCCCGGGTGTAAATAGCCAAGCGGAAATAGTACGTACCCTCGACCGGGACGGCGCTCAGCGCCGGGGAGTAAACAAGTTATTATATTAATCTACACAAAATCCTTTGAACGACAATCGCGAAAACAAAACGTTATGCTATATGGACAAACTCGCTTAATTTAACCATTCTTGTAACGAAACGATTATGTCATATGACGAGACCCACGTGGCTACTTGCTCACATCATCTTGCGCCATAGTACGTGTTTTATAATATGTTGCATTTGCTGACGTAATTGGAAATGCCAATTTTTGAAAAAACAGTGCGCTATATCTCATACCTATGTTGAAATTTTAGACACTGTACTGCACTGCTAAAGTCTTTTAAAGTACCAAAACCAAAAAAATCTGTATTGCAAAAATTCGACGAAAACGACTTTAGCACAGGTAGTCTCAACTGTTTTAGGGTAAAACGACCATGGTGGTCAACATGGCGTATGTGCCAAAACCTGAATTCGGGACGAATGTCCTGAAAATGACCCCGCCCTAAAAGGGCCGTGCCAACATCTCTAACTTCCAAAAAGCAAAAGCAACAGCCTTTCTGAAGTGCTTATATATAGTGTTTAGAAGTGTTGCTTTTAGGGGTGCCGGTTATTGGAAAGAAAAATTTGTCTAACTATAATATTTTACAAGAAAATGACCATGTACCTGGCTGAAATTCAATTTTCTTATTTCCTAAAAAAAATATTATGGGATAAAAAACTCTGCTTAATTTAATATAATTATTATAGATTTTATAAGGATTGTCATTGTTTTCTGTAAATATAATACATTTTATTTCACTTACCCCAATTTCAGCCATATTTTGCCGTCTTAATTTATATTGTTTGCTTTTTATCGCCGAGTCTCGCAAATATCATCCAGTTGTTGTACTTTTACATAATGATAAATGACTAAAGAAGATTTCAACCAAGTTTCGTCAAGTTATGAAGAAGGGCAGTGTATTTTTTTATATTGTGTCCTTCAATATTTTGTGAAATATAGCGCCATTCCAATGCCTCGCCACTTCTCTGCCCGATAAATGCCACTTATTATATTCGTCTCCATATGTATTTATATACAGTATCCAAGTTAGAGTACTTCATTGTAGAATAATCCCATCGAAAAATTGAAAACATTAGTTGCACTTGAAAGAAAAAAAGCTTCCACAAACATTTATTTTCAGATTCGGAGACAAATAATTTGAAAGTCACGCGCAATCTTCGCGAAATCTTGAAAAATAAATAAATCTTTGTATCAACTTGAAAAATATTTAAAATCATTATAAATAACAATACAGGAACCAGAGTTGCAGTTTTTAGACGAGAACCATTTACTAATTACAAATTTTCAATCTTTTGCCAGTCGTGGTTCAGTGCAAATAATGTGTTCTAGCACATCACCACCAAACACGTCCGATGCAACGAGTGACCTCAATGCCTTTAAATGAAATTTGGGCTTAATTAAGCTTATAAAGTTCAGCACAGTTCAATTCTCCTTCATACACTTCTTTATTCTGCATAATCCCAAGAAGTTCTGGATAATCATGCTTCAGTTCAATATATTAGGAAAAGATCGTCCGGTGTCCCATGGTTTACTGCAGAGATCAAAAAATTAATATTGGAAAGGGATAAGAGAAAGCGTAAAGCGATGGTGACACACCTTGATGCAGATTGTGATGAATATAAAACATCTAGAAACAAGGTCAATGTTGTTGTAAAACTGAGTACTATCGTGATAAAATAGCCATTTAAAACCACAATCCTAAAGAGGTTTGGAAAACAATTTGAATACATTGTCAATATTCAAAAAGGGAATTCGTGCTCACAATTTGCAATACATTAATTTAGTTACATTTTGTTATTCAAAATATGTCTGTAACATACAGAAAAAAGGACTTATCAGGGTTATACACGCCCCTCGTGGAAATCAGCAAATAGTTGGTGGGGCTAGCGCGTGATTTTCAAAATGAAGTTTACCCACCTACCTTTACAAAAACACAGTATTTTGAAAAATCTCGGCTTAGGGCTTGATTTTCGTTATTTCAAGTAATACATGCCCATACATCAATTTGGAGTTTCGACAGTGAATCATTATGATACGTGCTGCACTGCGCAGTTGAACTATATCATGTAACTGAAACTGGAAGAATTAGAATATGAATATCAAAGTAAATATTCATCTGTTCAAACATCATTTGGATATGCAAAAGTTCCACAAAAGAACAATTAGTTTCCGCATGATTGACTCGCTTTAAATTAGGAAATATGTTCCATTTTATCTCTTTCTCTATTTTACTTTACAAGTAGGCAAGATATCCTAGTTGAGAATGATTTAATTTGCAATTCCATTGTAGTTCTCTACTTTGATATACATGTTCTAATTCTTCCAGTCTCAGCTAATCGACACCGCGGAAAAACGTCTGCGCATGCACGTGTACCAGAAAAAGTGGCGAGGATTTTATATGTCAAATTGTAAACAAAAACAAGGCTATTTAATTATTTAAGAGAAGTGAAACAAACATAAAATACATTAGACGGGCAGTCTATACTTTAAACTTTAATAAAAAGTTTTCTAACATTTAAAATCTAAAAATAAATAGAATTTAAATTAAAAATTATCGTTTTAGACCGGGAGGCGTGTGAACATTTCGTGAAAAATTGTCGAATACCGAACTTAAAACACAAAAGTTAAGAAAACTATCAAATAGTTAGGCATTTGCACGCGGGTAAATTGTAGTGTAAATCATTAGCTTTAAATATTATCAACGCAAAAATTATACATGCTACGCAAAAAAAGTTATTGAGAAAAATGTGGATCATATGAACCTGCGAAAAATATATTTGTATGGTCCAGTTAAAGAACGTCTTATACAATAAATTTGTCGACAGTTACCTTTGGTTCATTTTCTTGCATAATACTACTTCTTGCACATGTAGACTCTAATTATTTCTAGTTTTTAGGTTGTCGCATTCATTATTCCGCTTGCATTTTCACAGAAAAGGCAAAACATCGAAGTCGCTTTTATTTTGAGTTTTTGACAACCTTCGGAATAGTTTGCAAGCCAAATTTCAGTAAGTTTGACGCATGCGCAGACGTTTTTCCGCGGTGTTCAGCTAATCTTATAGTTTAACTGCAATTTGTTCCCTG